TAAAAAAACTATTTTCAAATGAGATTTTTCAAAGAAGAACCCCAATACGAACAAATATTTACTAGATGTAAATAGGCAAAATGACCAAATTGGTATATTTTCTAGAGGCTTGGGGACATGTTGATATATAATTTTTTTATTTTGTCAGATTGGTATAAAATTTCAACTCCGACGTCATATAGGCCTTAAGTTTGGCCGGAGTCAATTTTCCGGTCATTATTCTCACGCGATAGCTCACGTGACTCCGACGTGGCCTTGACGTGGACTCCAGCGTGGCAATATTTAGTGGGAATAAGCGAGTGGTTTGTCTAGATAATCGCAGAAGAGCAGTAATTCACTCCCATTCTTCAATTTCCCTCTCTTCCTCAAATTGCAGAAGAAAATCGTAGAACCCTAGAGCGTGACAATCCCCAAATTGCAGACGATCGAAGTTCAAGGCTTCCATCTACTTCATCGTCTTTGGCGCGGAGCAAAAGGTTAGTGGAGATTTCATATTTTTAAAACAAATTAGGGTAGATTTGATGGGTTTATTGTAAATTAGGGTTTTTTGATGGGTTTAGTGAGGAGTTACGGTTTTTATTGTGATATTGCAGATTGGTCTCCAAATCTTGGTTAAAATCAGACATGGAGGAAGTTTCCTGATGGGTTGGGTTGAAGAGTATGTTGGTGGTAGATTTGATGTTAGGTTTTTAGACAAAGAGGATCTAGACATAGAAAGACTGATGGATGAAATTATTGCAATAGGGTATAACAATGTCAACGGCTTGTTTTATTGTGTTCCTGGTGCAGGGGTTGTAAATGGTGGATTGAGGTCTCTAAGTGATGAAGGTTCCTTCATTGAAATGCTAGAACATGCAGAAAGGGTGAAGGCAATTGAAATCTATGTTGAACATGGCATTGATGAACCTGCAGAAGTTATTATGGAAGATTGTGATGTGCTGTTGTTGGAAGTTGTGAGTCAACCAATTTCTGAATCACAGACTTAACCAGTTGAAGCACAAGAAGATATGCAAATACCAGAAGCGACTACTCCTAAAAAGAAGGGGAAAGTAGCAGGACCAAGGAGATCAACACCTAGGAGATTAACACCCAGGAAAGCCATTGCTAGTGCCATTGAGAAACGAACACCCAAGAAAGCAGCACCCAAGAGGAAGGTAACATATCCTTTAACCTCCAGGAAATAACTAACACCCATGAGGGCAACCAAGCTTTTAACATCCAATGAAACCATGCCACAACAAGAAGCATTAATTTCAGCCTCTTTAGATGATCCATGTAGTGCACAATAGCAGTCAAGTCCATCTAGTGATAGTGACGACTCTGTGGAGGATGAGAATTACAGAATGGATCCTAGGGAGGCATTTGTAGATGATGACTTTGATGAAGATGAACTATTTGATGAGTTTAGGATCCTAGGGAGGCATTTGTAGATGATGACTTTGATGAAGATGAACTATTTGATGAGTTTAGCAATAATAGCAAGGGGAAAAAATAAGAATGTGCAAAAGAAAAAGGATGAAACTGCTTTACAGTGAATGTGGAGGGCAATGAGAGTGTGCCTGAACCAATTTTTGGACCTAGGGAGGCAGTGAATGTGGAGGGCAATGATAGTGTGTCTGAACCAAATAATGAACCTAGGGAGGTAGTGAATGTGGAGGGAAATGAGAGTGTGCCTGAACTAGGCCAGGAATATAGGGAGGCAGTGAATGAGGTTCACGGTGCCCATAGTGACGATTCCTTTCAAGCTGCTATATGTAGTGAAGATGAGGAACCGAATGAGATTAGGCAATGTAATAAGGAGATTCTAAGTCAAGAGGCAACATTGCTTTAAACTCTGGTGCAGTACTGGGAGATGGTGTTGATGCAGGTAACTCCATTCAATTTAACACTGTCAAACCCCCTCGAGTGGTTAATGCTAATGTACCAACATCACCCCATGAAGGAGTGCATTCAAGAGCTGGATCACAATAACAGTCATGGCCAGATTTTTTTACAAATTATGACGGTGGATATGAATCAGATCCTAGATCAAGTGGTGATGAAGGTCTCATAATGGCAAGTGATGAGGATGAAACACTTGTCCAAAGTTTACAAAAAAAGCAGCAAAGGTCAAGTATCCTTTTTTTAATGAAGAAATTGACATGAAAAATGTTAAATTGATAGTAGGATTGAAGTTCACGTCTAGGGAAATATTAAAAGAAGCAATATTGAATTACTCTATACAAGAACACTATGACATTGTTTATGGAAAAAATGATAAGAGACAGTTGAATGTGAATTGTGCACTCTGTCATTGGCAGCTAAATGCTACACCATGTCGTGATGATGCTAGTGCTTGGAAAATCAATAGTATGCACCCTTTTCATACTTGTAGCTGGATATTCAAGAATAGGCTAATCACTGAAGGTTGGCTTGTAAGAAAATTTATTGATAATTTTTTGAGGGATCCTAAGTTCAAGCCTAAAGAAATAAAATTAGAAATGCAAAAACAATATGAGATCATAGTGGATTTAAGGAAATGTAGGAGGGTAAAGAGTAGGGCTTTGAATGCAATAGATGGTTTGTTTAAGAAGCAATATGGCTTGTTAAAGTCATACATAAGAGAGCTCTTAAGGAGTAATGTTGGAAGTACATGCATTCTGAAGGTCACAGATCAAAGTGACTCATCAGAATCAGGAGTCTGTCAAAGTTTCTACATGTGCTTTGCAGGTAAAGTTCAAGTGTTTGTTAGAAAATTTTAAATTTTTATCAAAGCTTGTATGTGCAGGTTTTTTAGGCCATACTGAATTCGGTCCTGTGTTCTCAGCTATGAAAAGGGGGTTCGCCAACAATTATAGACCTATATTTGGACTTGATGGGTGTTTTCTTAAACATGCATGTGGTGGGCAATTGCTAAGTGCCGTGGGGAGAGACGACAATAATCAGATGTGGCCAATTTTGTGGGCTGTTGTGGAGGGTGAAACAATGAGCTCTTGGGAATGGTTTATGAGAATCTTATCCAATGATCTCAACATGGGAGAGGGAGAGGGATGGACAGTAATTTCAGACCAACAAAAGGTAAGGATCAATTTCATGTCATATTCAATTTAATCTCTATTTGGGCTACATGTTTACATATCTGGGCATGTTTTTTTGTTTAAGCAAGGTTTAGTTCCAGCTATACATGAGGTTTGGCCCCAAGTGGAGCATAGACAATGTACATGACACATTTATTCTAATTGGAGGAAAGCACATACTAGAAGAACTCTTCAAAAACAATTTTGGTATTGTGTGAAGGCAACCTCCATGGGGGATTTTGCAAGAGAGGCTGGCAAACTCAAGGATTACTCTCAAAGGGCATATGAAAACTTCATGGAAATGGATCCTCACACCTTCTGTAAGTCCCATTTTAAGTGTCATAACTAATGTGACAGTGTTGACAATAATATGTCTGAAACCTTCAACTCATTTATCCTTCTTGCAAGATACAAGCCAATAATTTCTATGCTAGAAGACATTAGACTTGCCATGATGGATAGGATGCAGATAAAAAGGAAGTTGATTACGCAATTTGTGGGTGGGATTGCCCCTAGAATAAGCAAGAAAATCAAAGAGGGATATCAAGAACAATTGCACTATCAAACACGTTGGTCGAGAACAAATGACTACAATGGATTTGAGATACATCACAGAGGGATTGGTCATGAGGTTAATTTCGGTGAAAATACCTGTTCTTGTAGGGTTTGAGACTTGACTGGAATTCCATGTCCCCATGCCATTAGTGCAATATTGTTCATGAGAAAGAATCCAGAAGATTTTGTTGCTCATTGGTACAAAAGTGAAGCTTACATAAATGCTTATGAGAGCTTGTTAAACCCTGTGTAAGGTACCAAATTTTGGGACCTTCAACAGGAGGGATCTATGTTGCCTCCTCACAGTATTAGGAAGCCAATGGGGAGACCCAAACATGCTAGAAGGAGGGACCCTTCAGAAGGTCCATGAAATCAATTTGAGGCATCAAGGCGAGGTGTGCAAGGACGATGCACCCATTGTGAATCAAGTGAACATACATGGAGAAAGTTCCCCACTGCACCACCAAGGCAACAAGCTACACAAGTAAGCTTTTTTTTTTGCACCTGTATTTTGTGTTCTTTAAACAACTTAAGCCTTACCTGATCCATCTTGCTGGAATCACAAGGAACAAGAGTTGATGAAGGACCATCTCATGTGAGGAAAAAGGGGAGACCAAAGGAAAGCCTGAACAAAATTAGATGTGGTGACATGCCTCCAAGCAATGCTCCAACGCCAGCATCAATTATCCTTGGAAGAAGAAGCAAAGCTCCAACAACCAGCGCTGAGGCAGGAAGAGGTAGAGGACGAGGAGGAAGAGGAAGAGGACCATCTCAATTATGGATGCCAGAAGGGTTTGGTTTGTGGCAAGGACCACAAAGGGAAATGACATTTAGAGCTCCTGGTGATAGTCATGTGAATGTGATACATTTGACACCTAATGCTCCATCCTCATAGAGTGCACCCTCTCAGGAATGAGAGTGCAATTAACTACAGTAGATAACCAGTGTTTTGTATTTTGGG